CAGCTCTTGGGGAATTGCTTGGAGGCCCACGAGTAAAGTTCTTTGTTCCATAGAGTACCCAGATGCTATTCCAATCAAGCTCAAGTGGCCCGAGGCAGCCAGGTGGCTGTCCTTGTATCCTCGACCTTTGTTTTGTAGTCATCTAAACAACCATCCGAAACTTGAGCTTGTTCCCATTGACAATCTCGTCCTTCTTCGACTCGAGCTCTTTGACGTCCCAATTGACCACCACGAAGCGCGCCTGTAGCCACTCTCGTCGCTCCCTTGCAAGCCACGTCATCCAGTGCGCCGGCAATTCGACCTCGTCCACGAGCCACTGGTGCAACGGTTTGGGCAGCCGGGTGCCCAGTTCGGTCTTGATACCGCCAGGATGGGCCGCGATGCAGATGAGACCCTGGTCGGCATAATCGGCGGCGACATGCTCAGTCAAGCGGCACACGGCGAACTTTGCCGTCTGGTAGCCGCTGGCGCCCTCGCTGATAATCACAGCTCCGAAGCTCGTCACATTAAGGATTGTCTTGAGCGAGGCAGACTTGAGGACGAGAGGCAGGAAGGCGTGCGTGAAAAGATATATGCCGCGGACGTTGACCTCGAAGTTCATCCACCAGTCCGCCGGGTCCGTGTCGACAAGGGGCGTCCATTCGGACGAGTAGCCGGCGTTGTTGATGAGGAGATCTACGGCGCCGAATGCCTCGCCGACCTTCTTGGCGAAGCGCGACACGTCCTGTTCAGAAGTGACGTCGGCGGTGCCGCTAAAGATGACGGGCTCTTTGGGCCGGCCAGCATCACGAGCGGCCTTCAGCATAGCTGAGACCACGTCATCGAGACTGGAGCGCGCGGTGATGGCAATGTTGGACGCGCCGGCTTGCGCAAAGGCGATGGCGGCAGCGCGGCCTATACCTTTCGAGGCACCCGTGATGACGATGGTCTTGCCTGAGAGGTCGGCCTTGAGCGGGTCGATTTCTGCGTAAGTGTCGTTGTGCATCTTGCCAATAAAGCGGACGGCGGCTTCTGCGCCGGTGTCGCGAATAGCTGCCGACATACTGATTGTGTAAGGAATTCCGTTATGGTTGGTTTCGGCTTGGGTGTCAGTGGTCGAATGTCTGACTCTGGGAGCCCGTCTCTGCCGAGGTATATATATGGAAGCTCGTCAGGGCAATGGCTGTGCGGACTTAGTGACGCCGATATGTCCGTACCCGCTATCACCGTACAGCCCGTCATAGATCGAGGTCTAGCTAACCCCGATGTAGATAGATGGAACTCGTCGCCTTCGAGTACAATAATCACTATTTAAAAAGAGTAATACCGATATATCCATACCCGCTAACACCGCATAGTTCGTCATAAGTCCAGGTCGTGCAGATGGACGGAACTAGCCTCTTGGCGGCAGGCACCCAGTGGTCAAAAAGAGATAGGACCGGGGGAGGTTCCCAAATGCCAAGACCCTAATCGTTTGCTGCCCTATCATATATTCACCAATAACTCCATCAGGCAGTAAAGCCAGTATATCAGCAATTGATTGGGCAAGGTTTAGTCAGCGGGCTTAACCTTATACCGACGAGGACTAAGTTAGTTCTTCTAAATATGTGCTCAGAGCCACGCGGCTCCGGTACAAATATTATGGAGAATTCTCAGGGATTAGAGCCAATAGTATCAGACCCTATTGGAAGTACACTGAAAATCCGCCAGGAGCTCACTGTTGCTAAAGTACTGGTGATGTGCCGAGGCAAAGTGAGCTTCCTTCTGATCATGAGAAGAACAACCACCCAAGGGGAGTTCATCGCCTACCAGATTCGGTGGTATTGCCAGCGAGGCTCACTTAGGCGGGACTTAGTCTATTCCCAGACTTTTTGGGGCCGGGCAGTTTTGTTGGGGGAGCTAGCAACGATAGCACAAAAACAGTATCGCTATAACCATGAGGGAATGTCTAATTAGGGCATTCTCATTTGAATACACTGCTGCTCAAGATGTGAAAACATGAAATTAAAAATATGACGACGACTGCTTGGATAGGTATCCGCTTCTCTGTCTGTCTGCTCTGGACGACCATCGTGATGCAATCAATTTATGGAATGGTACTTTACTGCGCAGCACCCTGCTGACTAATCTACCCCACCCCAGCACGGTACCTAGCCGGAGCGAACGAGCCCGAGAGGTATCTATGTAGTAGAGTTAGCTATGCCAGAGGGTGCGAGGAAGGCCTGATCGGGTATAGCAGCGGCTAGTTACGTGCTCCTATCCTGTTCATATTCTGCATAATCCCTTCGTCTAACGTAAATGCATAGCGAGTGGGCCAGCATAGCGAGTGGGCCACCTCCATCACTTCACTAGAATTCCATCTTCTAACACATCTTACTCAACAACCAGCCATGGAGACCCCTTCTAAAGATAACCAATTGAATCTCGCTCTTCAAGCTATGGACCGTGATCCTTCCCTTTCTATACGCCGCGCAGCTGCAATCTACAACGTCTCTCGAACAACGCTTACCCGCCGCTATAAGGGGACGCCTTCTCGACGCGATAGCCTACCAAATTCGATGAAATTAACAGAGCTAGAGGAGCAGACGATTGTCGACTATATTCTCGACTTGGATGCGCGAGCATATCCTCCTCGGCTAAGTGAGGTTGGAGAAATGGCGAATCGACTGCTCGATAAGCGGGCTGCGCCACGCGTCGGTCCACGATGGGCGTCAAACTTCGTTAAGCGACAACCACAGCTCCAGACGCGTTTCTTTCGCAAGTACGACTACAAGAGAGCCCAATGCGAGGATCCCGACGCGATAAACGCGTGGTTTCGGCTTGTGCGGAACGTAGTCGCGAAAAACGGCGTAGCGGACTCCGATATCTACAACTTCGACGAGACAGGCTTTCAGATGGGCGTTATCGCGACCGGGATGGTCGTTACAAACGCGCGAAATACGGTCGAACGTTAAGATGAAGCAACCAGGTAATCGGGAATGGGTTACGGTAATCCAGGGCGTTAGCGCGACTGGATTCTACGTCCCGCCGTTCGTAGTATTTGCCGGCAAATATCACCTCTCGACCTGGTACCAAGATAACGCGATTCCTCGCGACTGGAGAATCGTAACATCCGCAAACGGCTGGACTACAAACGAAATTGGTCTAGATTGGATTCGACATTTCGATCAGCACACAAAGTCGCGAACAAAAGGCGGTTATCGCCTCCTCGTCCTCGACGGCCACGAAAGTCACCACTCGGTCGAATTCGAGCTCTACTGTAAGGACAACAACATTATTACGCTCTGTATGCCTCCTCACTCGTCTCATATACTCCAGCCTCTCGATGTTGGCTGTTTTGGTCCGCTGAAGAAAGCATACGGTCGGCAAATTGAGCTTAAGATAAAGGCGGGTACAACGCATATCGGCAAGGAGGACTTCCTCCCCTCGTTTTTAGCGGCATTCCAGCAGACAATGACGGAAAAAAACATCCAGGGAGGCTTCAGAGGGGCGGGACTTGTACCCTATGACCCTGAAGCCGTTTTATCCAAGCTCGATGTGAAGTTCAAGACGCCAACACCCTCGAGGACGCCTCGGACGTCACCGGAGCCATGGACTTCCCGAACGCCCACCACCGCTATGGAAGCCCGTTCACAGTCTAATTTCATCAAACGTCGGATCTCTCGTCACCAGGGAAGCTCTCCAACGTCAATTATTGAAGCAGTTGAGCGGTTCACGAAGGGAGCAAAGGGGATCATGCACCGGTTCGCCCTAATGGAGGCAAGGATGAAGATGCTTGAAGACGAGAATGCAGTACTTAGTAAGCGCCGGAGAGCTAAGAAAACACGTCTCCGGAAAGGCCAGAGCATGACTCTAGGCGAGGGACAGGACCTTATAGCCCAGAGAGAGGTGAACACTCAAATAACACAGGAAACGCAAGAAAATCGAGGTCATGCAGGCGGCACTACGCCAACGCAGCGCCGCTGTGGTACCTGCGGGATGACTAGCCATAATGCGAGAACTTGCCAAATAGTTACTCTAGGGTCTGAACTCGAAGATAGCGATTAGTTTATATCAATTCAAGACGTTTTGGTTTTGCTGACGAGGTTTTGATTCTCGAGATGTGGTGGGGGTGGCCCACTCGCTATGCTGGCCCACTCGCTATGCATTTACGTTAGTAATCAGGACCGATAACCGCTAAAAAAAACCCAGGTACCCAGGTGACTGATGGGTCAGATGCATGGCAACTGAGTATTAACCATAAAACAAGCAACCACGGGAGATCTCTATAGAATTCCGCTAAGAAGAAGAAGCCCTAGTATCTTTCTAATCGTGTACTTGACCAATTGCTTAGGGCACAGTCACTCAAATAAGCGTAATGATATCTCTTCCCAGAGGCACGACAATCCCAAAGGATTTTAGGTCTTGCCTTCCGATCAGAACTGAGCCCACAACCAGCCGGTCTGACGGTTAACCCCGGAGTCTGGATCGTGACACAAATGCAGGCTCGCATCGGCCCCTTCCGCGCAAGATATACGACGCATATTCAGGGAGGCAATAATCCAACCCTAGGAATGCTCGCTCAAACTATATGTCAATGTGGATATACTGCCAAAATGAGTAGATTCACACTTATTACTATGAAACTCCACTGTTGTCGTGCAAATCGTGTTGGTCGGGGGTGAGTAAGCCTGGCGCCAAATTCCAGATTCTAAGATACCGAAGTTTTCTCGGCGGACTCGAGCTTTCCGTGGAACACGGCGAGTTACCGCCTAGCGCACAAATGGTAAACTAAGCATCAGTCGAGCATAGCGTGCAGCAAGCAGCAAGCAGCCTGTCCCTGGTCAACCGGGCCAGGGCGAAGAGGCCGTTCGTCGACAACATATAGGAACGATGCTTACGACCGGGCGTCTCTACTCTGGATTCGCCGTCACAAGCAGGGTAGACGCGCAGTTCCAGCAGCACGTGGCAGTGATTGTGGCTATAAAAGTGCGAGGGAGGGAGATCTTATTAAATCCATCTTCATAAAGGGCGCCCTGGGCTTCAGCCCTGTTCGATTGCAGGACGTGAGAGTCCATTAGCCTCTCGAATCCAACCTGCCAGAGCTCTCCGATAATACACCCAAACATCCGACTTTCAGTGTATCCTACCGAGCAAGTCCTATGGACTATCGTAAGGTCGAAACCCGGCCGATCCACATAAAATTTGATAGAAGGCATTCATAGCCCCAACGTTCATGCTAGGCTGACTGAACTTCTATAGGAGCCTTCAGCGGCCTGTGCCTGGGTTACAATCACACCAATACCCCCAGCCCTTCCAGCACTTCTTTGCTTGGCTGGAGTTCGCGAATCTTCTCTTGTTGTTTCACCCTGCCGTCGATGGGGTCGAGGAACACGGCTTCGACAGATCTCGCCGCGCATACGTCGCTAAACACTGCATACGTTCCTCCCGATGCCTTCTATTGCAAGCCCAATGGACTCGTATGCTTCAAACAATCGTCTCGTAGATGAGTATCCTAAGGGTGCCTCCACCGAGTGGCACTCAGCATTGCTGCTAGATGGACCTAGGCCGCCACGCCGAATAGTTGTTTCCATCAGGATGTAAAGGTCTCTTTTCCGTTGCCCAGTCACGAAACGCCTTGTGCCGCTTTTCCGAAGGTTTCATATGCCGTGGTAAATATGCTGTAAGAGTCTACTGCGCATAATATGGTCGAGACTTAGAGTCGATCTGCCGACGGCAACCACGGCGTGCAACTCCTCAGGCGCGATATAGCAGGATTCACTAACCAGAATGACATTTTCGTCGATACAATGGGTATAATGCTTCGTTGATATCTACCTCAAAGTTCTGTCTACCTCGCTGGAGACAATACTTCACGATTTGTCGCGCTTGCCAGTGGCGATGAATCTGCGGCGTGGAGACTCTCCGAAATATGGATGCCCTTTTGCCTCCACTCCTGGATGTAAGAGGGGAAAGCTTATCGAGGTCTTCGCCTGAGGCGTAGCTAGCCACTCGAGCAACTGATGTGGTACAGCATGCTCCGACTCCGAGCTGGATGCGGAGCGCCACGGCTGCCTGACAGCGATAAACGGCGTCAACCTCTTTCGTCGTTTGCCTGGACTGTCATTCGACTGGTAGTAGCTCTCGAAGTAACTGATGATCGCCCTCGGCGTAATCTCAGTTGCAAGAGGGGGAAACTTGCCGCGAAGGACAAACCACTCCGCCACCCTGATATCTTCGCCACAGTCATACCAACAAACGTCCTCAGGACTTGTATCAGGCCTACAATCATCCGGTTTGTTGTCATAATCGGACAGCCTTAGAAACAGGACATCCTGCTTGCCCCACGTATAGTCATCCATCCATTGCAGCATCCCAGCCACCCCGGACAGGAGATCCCTTTCCACGGCGCCGCTAGGAGAGAACGCATTGATACAGGTCGTATTGATCTGCCGTAGGCTTTCAAGGCCCTTGTCGTTCTTGATCTCTGCTACTTTTGTCGACATGCTCAGATGCCTCAGCATCTGAGCGATATCGCAGCCAATGAACCCTAGTCGTCTTAGCGAGGGAAGTTGGTTCAGAAGCCCAGTCAGGTGGAAATCGCGTGGTATGGTCCAACCGCGACGATGCTCAAAGAGATGGCGCCATTGCCGGTTCCGAGGGGCGCTGTAGGGGTCGGCGTGGCTGCATTTGGACAGCAAGATAACCTCCTGTATCATCCTCACCTCCTCTTTTGGAAGTCCCGTCAAGCAACTTTCGAAGTTGCGGAGTTTAGTAGCATTATCCGGCTGAAACGAGACGTAAACGGTCTGCAGTAGATGTGGATTGAGGATATGTCGGAAAGTACGGCATGTCCAACGCAGTCGGAACAGATGGCTTTGTCGCTTGCAGAGCTGGCGAACTAGGGCCTGGCGGTGAAGGTTATGGAATACTGGAAGCTGATCATGAAAGTGGTCAATGATTAGAACGAGAATCTCTAACGGAAGCCCGTCCATGATGGCGAATCCATCACAAAACAGGTAGCATTTTACGAGTCTGGGACTGGGAAGTGTGGAGGCTGCGAGAGATCGCAAATGCGGACTTGAGAGAAAGTAGGACATTACTGCAAGCTTTTCTTCAGGGGCAGCACTTCCTTTGTGAAATGTTTGCTTTGGAGTATGTCCCAACAATAATCGAACAACGGGCGGATCCACAAACATGCATCAACTATCCTCTACAGTAGTGACCACAATCACTGTCCACAACAACTTTATTGAGATGATTTGCGCACGGGCCAGATTGACCCGGTTGTGGCTTAGGACTGTGTGAAAATTGTTTAGCACTATGTATCGTTAATAAAAAGCTCCACCACCCCTCCATTTCTGGCTTTCGCTGGCCGATTGCTCAGCGATCCATTATGCGAGGCGCCCCAATCAAAAAATGGTAGCTCACTCAGCTGCAGATGCCTTCTGAGATTGAGCCATTTCAATTTCGGACCGCCTCATAACTGCACAGTGGTCAGGTCGCAGTCCCAGTTCCATTTCGAACAGTACTTCATCTTATACGTTCAGTCTCTCCTATTTTACAATTACTGTGGGAATTCCGCCTGTAGCTAAGACCCTTTACTAAAGATTGCAGGTAAGTCCCCACATGCTGCTCACTAGAGACCGCGGAAAAGTAGTCAACGTGCCATGGAACCGTATGGAGCATTGTGGAACACTTCAGCTCCGCCCGATGCTTCGATCACGCGTCACAAATGAGCCTAAGCACAACACCGCCTAGGTCCCTTTTGCCACTTCCGACGATTCGCCAGATTATGTCGCTACAAAGTTGCAGTCTGGAGCGGCACTGTTTTTCTTGATTCTGTGAGCACGCAGACTCCTATTCATCTGGACCTGCTTGGGACTCGTTCGCGCACGTGCTCGGCACCACATTTGCTAAGAAGACTTCTGCAGCTTGAGTCAATGGCTTAGCCGGCTGGAAGACGACTGATTGTTAGGGGCATTTCCATGGACCAACGAGATTACTCATCAGATTGTCACAAGGTCCGTCTTACTTCATGTTGTCTGGATATACCCAACAGAATCGCTGCGTTCATCAATATAAGGCGGAGGCGGGCTTCAGCCCTCCAGCATTGACTGGGAGTAGCTGCCATGGTCTCACACATGTTTCGAGCAGAAAGGTTGACATACAATAGCAGCGGAGTCACCGTTGTCCACTCGCCTCTCAGGGCGTGGGCCCCGCTGGGACAGGTCAGGCTGCTTTCGTGGTGGCCTACTGCGAAGTGGCGGAAGAATGGACAACCACCTTCATGGTGATGGTTCTCTGCAATCTGGGATCTATGTCAGGCGGCAGTCTGGCCACCGGCGCTGTGTGACGTGAGATGCATGTCTCATGCGTCCACTAGTCTTGGCAGATTGTTCATGCTCTGTGGCTGCAAGCATGCCTGCAGTGTGCTGCAGGAATCCTACCATCGGCGGTCAGGCTCCCGCATGGGATGGTAAAGACAGAACAGGCGCTCGATGCCCAACGAGACTTCCTGCATGACTCAGCCTGACAGTTCTCATATATCTAGACTCTGCTGGAGCCATGCTTGTTTTCAGTGCTCTTGTCCTGGCTCTTCAAGCCAGTGTCTTAAAGGCTTGCCACTCTTTATCGCTACGAATGTTATTATCATAACGAAAGGCAGGTTCGACATGATCTGCATTCAGTGCGTGCAAGAAGAGGACTCCTGCTTGTGCTCGTTCTTCGACTTTCGGGCTGCTGCTGGAGGTATGTTTCGGCAGCTCATCCTGGGAGTGCCTCACTCTGCAAATAACACATGCTTACATCTACCAGAATACGAGGACGAGTCAACATCTTCGGGCGATCAACTTCTTTTGCAAGATGTCCTATTCTCGCCTGCAATAATTGAGACCATCGTCACCAAGTGTTATTCCAGTATGCTGACACCCGCGCCAGGCCATGCTCGAGATACTGTATCTCAAAGCTTTCTGATCCACGACGTGCAGAAAGATATGCTGGACATGGTCGAATCATCAGTCTCGACGGTTCAGCAAGAGGGCGTTCCGATTTAGAGCGCACAACCTCTTGGCGTTCCACAAGACGACACAATTCAACCACCCAGCACATCTACAGCGCCTGTGGAGATAACTTTGAGCTCAGATGAGACATCATCACCGACTACAAGATTTACAAGACATCCGCTGCCACCGCTTGATATCAGTCGCAGCCCTGACGGGAGATTTTATTGCCCGTGGAAGGATTGCACGAAGTCCTTCCGGATCAGCAGTGAGACGAAGTAGGTGCAAACACAACTCAGACACAAAGCTTCATTGACTAAAATGTGGCAGGAAATGTGTGGAGAAGCACTTCAAACCGTACGAATGCGGATACTGTACGGAGCGTAGTGCGACGAAGAGAGATGTGGAGAAACATATTGAGACGCATTCATCCACTCGAACAATGATCGGCTGTGAATCTTGCGGTTCCACATTCACATCAAAATACAACCTGCAGAAGCATGAGAAGAAGTTTCATTGATTTGGGCTGGAAAGCAACTAGATTGAGACTCGTCTCCAGTACCTGTTAGGCTGCTTCACCACAATAAAAGTCATTCGTTTCAAGGTCTGGCCATGTGAAGGGGCTTCGCGCAGGCCTCTCAATTTGCCAATCGTTCCCTTTCTATCTGTCAGGTGTACACGTAGATACCGGACTGACAAGCCAAGTCCGTACGCGTGTGGTCTACTCACGAGAAGATTTCATCTTTCCGAATCCCGTCAATGCCTTCCTCGTGCGCGGAGTCTGCGATTAGATATTACAGCACATAGTTTTCTGATTGCTGCTATCCAAGTCCAAAATTTCATCAGTCTATATCCCAACAATAGGTCACCTACGTCACAGAGTCTGGTTTGCACCTTTGGCGAATCCAGATTGCGCCAAGGACCGCTTGTGGTGGGAAGGCCTCGCAGTGAGGCAGGCTGGCATGCCACGTCATGTGCATTATCATGCAATGCATGCGCGCCTTGCAAACTATTCAGAACTTCCTTGCTTATATGTGCAGTTGCATCATCATCATCATGTAGGTCTACAACTACAACCAACAATGACGTGGAGTATGCCACCATGGACGGGTGAAAAAAGGCGTCGAACCACACGCCATTAATATATTCATTTCGATTGCCCGGTAAAACCCAGGTGTGGTTCGACTACAGCCTCACTGACAACAACCGAAGCTCCAAATTTAAATTCGAGACTGCTCGACAGCGTGTCCTTTAGAATCCACTGCCTCAAATATGGCGCAACAACACCCTCGATCTCATCGTTACCGTCGTCTTCTCAAGCGCTTGTATGAAGCCAGCTTTCTACTGCAGAGACTAGGCCCTCCCGCGAGACCTCACACAATAATTCACCATGACCCCCTGAATGGATTGGCCACCCAGCAAAGGTTTTTGAAAACCCTCGCCTTCATGATTGACTTCAAGAAGGGCGGCGATACCACTGCGGCCATCGCAGTCGAAGAGACAGTCCAAGACCTCAATTTTGTGGTTGCCGTCAATGATCAGAGTCAAAAGGAAACAGCAAGGATGGTGCTCGAGAACTACTTAGACCAGCTGGTCAAGATTTTTGCGCTTCCTCCGGAGCAATATCATGAGCATGGAGACACAATTCTGTTACGCCGCGTCGCTCCCTTTAGCAAGATCAGACTCAAAAAGGAGTTGAAACTCTTGCAATCGACTGCCGACAAGTGTATCAATTCTCTCCATGACTCGCAATCGAGCAGCGGTATGATACCATATCTCCCCGGGTTGGTCTTGTCGGCTCTAATCTTATGTGCACAACTCAAGGACTGATCAATTTCCTTCGCCTCCTCGGTGCCGACACCGCTAAGAACCTCGTCTTGAGCTGCCAAAGGGTTTATTCCGCGGAGAGGGACCCAGTGCTCAACGAAGCACGACATTTCGGTCGCGATCCTGAAGATGGGAGCAATCCTCCCGCTGGCGTGGTGACCTTCAAGAAGCTGGTCCACTATGTTCATCGCGTTGCAGCTCACCTGCGCTCAGTCAAACGCCTCATTGACGATGAAGCACGTCTGAAGCCTCTGTTAGAGCGCTACCGTGTGACAGCTGTGGGCTCTCGGACCCCGAGTCCACGTCCGGAAGTCGATTCTCTGATCACGATAGATGGAGTCCTCAGACGGATCTTGCCAGCCAACGATCCGAGGCATGAAGCCATGGCGACACAACTTGAGCTGATCGATGAACAGACAGGCCTCGAAGCGTGGATCCAGGACCGCTTCGCGCCAGAGGAGGCGGACAAGGGCAGCATTCACTGCGAGGTACAACTCCTCGAGCATTTCTACCAGAATAAGCTCAGGTTCGTAAGGGATGACCCGTACGTCGCTTGCAGCAAGCCTTCTTGCGTCTGCTGTGAGCTATACCTCCGGCACCATCCATTCCAGTGTGCTCAGCTCGATACTCACGGGCGAGTGTACCCCAACTGGGCTCCGCCGCTCCTCGCGGAAGGGATCAACGACGCCGCCTGGCCTGAGCAGCGGCATGTCCTAGGTGAGATTGCTCATGCCCCCGGGAATCTCGTCATCTCGCGCTTGGAACGGCTTGGTATTAGCGCGCGGAACGGAGCGCTCTTCGACTCTCTCGATGGGAACACAGTCTCGGGGGTTGGTTTTGTCGAGTTCGCTGACGAAACGGATCTGAGTGGAAGTGAGAGGGACCCAAGTGGTAGTGAGGACAGCGATTCTGATCATTCAGGCGGTGCTCTGCTGTAGTTGCTAGGTCGCAAGAATGTTGGAGATCAGGCAGTGTGCATTAGCTGTTTCCCAAACAGTCCTCGGTGCACACGACATAAATGGAAAAGCTGTAAACCGATGGTCATCCACATTCTGCTAGGCCTGTCGTGATTTTGGTTTCATAGAGGTTCCGTCCAAATTAATAAGCACTACGAGACGACCAATTTATCTGTGGTACTGTACCCCAGGGCGGGGTTTTTCTTGGCTACAGTATTTAAGGCAACCCCGCCTTCATCTGATTGATTACGTACCCACAACCGGCCCCCAGTCCAGTGCTCCCCCCTCCATTTGCTACGGCGTTCTGCCAATGTTGCGAACGTACTTTTCACAAAGGAGGCCGGAGTAACAAGTTGGTTTTCGTGTTCTGACCATGTTACTGCTTTCTACTCAATTACGGCAGCGCTATTCCCGTTGCCCATGACTCGATTGCGCCAAGGCAAGCATTTACGAGCAAGCTTTTGTTAGCTTCTTTGTCTGCAAATGCAGCCCTCGATTCCTATCCTCGCCAACTCCGCGAGCACACCCGTACTGCTCTCTTCTGCAAAACCTGAGCCTCGAATCACTCAGTGCCAGATAGAAGGGCCACAGTAAGACTGCCCGACGGTGACGGGTAACGGTCAGCTCATTGTTGTGGGGGCTACGGGCTTTGTGTAGAGCCATCGCCCCCCGCCCCCCCCTAACCAATTCCGCGCATTGCTAGATCAGGCCGAACATCTTAAGGATGACTGCAACAGTTCCTTCTTCGCCATCCACATCCCCAAGGTAGCCAATCCATCCATCTTCAAATCGAGCAAATGCAACTGGAGTGTCGAGAAGGTTGATTTCAGACCCTGGCGCGAGTGACTCCACGACGGAGCGATCTGAGATCGCATACCACGCCATACTGGGATCGACATCCTCAAGAAAGACTGCTTTTTGACTGTATGAGGAGAGAAGCCCGGTCGTGGTGCGAGGGAGCGCCTCCTCATTCAGATACAATGTCGTGCGATAATAGGAACCAGCTCTCCAAGGCAATGCCCACTTCGCTTGCATGTACCTTTCTAAGTCGTCCGGTCGTATATCGGCACTGAAAAAGCCACCATGTATTACGATGCCTCCCTTGCGAACATAGGCTACTAGCTTCGTGGACACCTCGTCGTATTTAGGGTGGACAATCGCCGGATTTGCTACTAAAATCCCCTGTGGCGGTGCTTCGTGGTCGAGATGCTCTAGAGCCTCATGAACGGTTGATGCCCAGCTGACATTGGAACTGGAGGCAAGCGAATGTAATAAAAATTCATGGCTTTGCTCAATGGAAGCCCGTTGCGATTGAACCAGCAAAGATAGAAGGAGGATTTCCGGAGTATTTGTCGTCATCGTGCTCGGAATCGGTGGGGAGGCAAGACAGTGGACGGAGAGGTGCTGGGGTCACGAGAAGTAAGTCCGCGCATCGAGGAGTCAGTTGGAAATACCTGTCTCTGAGCCTGACACTCCTTGAAGATGGTCTCCGAGGATGATGGGGTGAGTCTTGTAAATAAGGTTGCCGCGACAGCTAAGTCGAGGCACCCAGATTCCGACACCTCCACAGCACCAAAACCCACCCAAAATGAGTGCCGTTTTGAGGCAATTGCGAGTGCATTTGAGCAGTAAAACGAGGTCATATTAGAGTTCTATTTGCCACTGGAATATGCAGTCCTCAAAGGGTACTACTGCTGCCTCCTGGGCCTCTTTGAGGCGCTCCTGTAGGAGTGCTTGGCTGCGCTTGATGGCTTCGATGTTGATAAACCTATCATTGGGGTCTTGAGGCGCGACTGTCACTTGTTTCTTAGGCTTCAATCGTTTAACTGTAGCCTCTAGGTTTGTCACTCTTGTCTGCAGTAGGGCGACCTCATAGGTATTGTCGGTGATGCCTTTACTAAGCTTCCTGAATAGGAGCCTAGCGGTCGGGTTTCTTGTGAGGTCATACCCAGCCATATTGAAGGCATCTCGAACGTCACTTGTCTGCTGTGGTGTCTTTATTGTGGTAGGCCTTGAAGCCCTATAAACGTCATTGAAGTGGACTGCTTGCTTCTGCGCTGGAGGAGTAGTAAGCTTGACGACGAGGGAGCTCTTCAGAGGTCGCCACCTTGAGACTGGCCATAAGCCAGTCACCCTCCATGATGTCACAATATTGTGCCTTTTGAAGCCTTCGTAACGTGCTCTCGCATAGCAAATAAGGAACCCAGTTTTACCTATGGGGTTACTATCGTTCTGGATATGAAGCTGTCGTGCATAGCGTCTGTAGGCTGCCTTCAGCGGCGAGAATATCGTCAGGTCGAGAGGTTGAAGGACATGCGAGGTATGCGGCGGGAGGTACAGTAGGTGGATCTTATGCAGGAAACACTCATACATGAAGTCGTCGGTGATATGGCTACCGTGCCCGTCAATAACAAGGAGGCGCTGTTGGTTCTCGTCGTTAGGCTTCGTCGAAGGGATAAATACCTTCTTTAGCCCATGGATGGCTAGCTCGTTCGACGTCCAGCCGTTGCTTTGGGCAGTGAAGGTCCATCTCTCGATAAGTCGGAGTTCTGGCTCATTGTCAGGAAACCACTGTGCTTGAACGGTTTGGCCCTTGAAGATAATGGCGGGCTCAAGAACACGACCATCAGCAGAGACGCATTCGATAATGGACGTCCAGCATCGTGATGAGTCTCCTTTGACGTACGTTGCGCGCTTCTTTGAGCACCCTAGAACGAGGCCATTTGCACCATATCCTTCCATAATACCTGTCTCATCCATATTGGGCGGGGATCGACGAGAGGAGGGGGTTATCGACGCGGTCAAAGAATGTATTAATTGCTGTCGGATTGGCACCATTCGCCCTTGTAGAGTCAAGTCGTCTACCGAGGATGGTCGATATCTCGGGGTGCCGGCTTCGAAATGCTGTAATCCAGCGTTTACCGAGGGGTCGATGGTCGCCACCAAGCCGAAGGATTCTGGTGACGAAGTCGGCCACCTGGGCGTGCGACGGTGCGAGCCCTAGTGAGTCCAGCACCAGGATCCAGCGCGCTAGCTGTTCCTCTTGAACTGGTGATAACCTCTGCTGGCCAGAGGCGGCGAGGGAGGAGGGCTCTGCAACTCGAAGTCGGTCGATGAGGGTGACTCTTGGGACCCCCAGACCCTCGACACGTGCGCCTGGGTCATCCCCGCACGTACGTCGGCTATTGCGTTCTGGATGTCGTTTTCGGTGTATTTGGGCATTGTGCTGGCTCTGACGCGTTCAAACACCAATAAATCAATGAAACAGACGTGTTCTGCGCGTCCTGTCGCGTCAAAAAGAGGTGGTCAATGTGGGTAGTTTGGGTGGGTTTTGGTGGTGTGGAGGTGTCGGAATCCAGGGGGTGTCGGAATCTGGGTGCCTCGACTTACGGCATTACCCGAAAGCGGGGTATAGCCAGGAAGCAACCCCGCTTTCAGAATTGACCTACAGTTCCACTACCCAACAACGTCTTGTCGCCTTTACCGCTATGAACCCAGGCGCTGTCTCGAAGATATGTCTAGTAGATAGAAGGGCGTACGATATGATGTCGTACTACATGCGCTTGCCTAGCTTAGGACAGGGTTGCACTGAGTCATGACGCTGTATTCAGTTTGCAAATACAGTCACGGAGAAGCATGCCTCAAAGGCTTGCACTCCCGCGATATCCTGCAAGCCATTTCTGGCGAGTAATTACTTGTTGCGGAGCAGCTGGCACTGTACACGCCACAATGCGCCACAATAGTTGGTCTGTGCGGAAATCGCAACTAATATGGGCAAAGTGGACACTGATTGTGGTCACTCCTGTAGCATGCCATCAGCGCTTTCCAAAGGCGGCGGGAAAGTGTCGAGGGTCAAAGTTTGTTGGTGTTTCTCCAGCTTGTGATTGTGGGACGCCAGCAGAATGAGGTATGCATGAAGAGCTATATATAACCACGCCTGGCCACCATCTTCAGCGCAAGCCATCTAGTGCGACTTCTCTACAAACCAAGGCCGACTGGTAAAATCCTGTGACTTCCGCCCAAGATGATCTTCGAACTGTTGGGCCGCCTGGCGGCAATGTACATCAACTTCGTCGCCAGCATCGGCGTCTACCTCGCTGTTTTCGTGTTCTCCGTGTCAGACAACTCAACCATCACCAGGTCTATCCTGATCGTGGCCCAGCGTACCTTCGCTGCCCTGGTGCAGAGTCTGTCCGGCGTCGTCCTCATCGTCAAGAGCATCTTCACCAACGAGACCAGCCCGGAGCTCATCCGGTACATGGTGGACCACCTGTATGACATCATCACCTTCGTCTTCGACCTCATCCGGCCCTCTGGTGTCATCACCACCGGCAATCCCGACGAGGCTCCGGTCAACGACTACTGGGAGCTCGACTTCAAGCTGAAGGCGAACCGGCAGGCCATCGGCGCGCAGATCCAGCGTGTGCTGCTCACAATCCGCGACATCATCGCGTTCGGCACGGTGCCCAACCTCCCCACAAGTCTCGACCAGCTGCCCATGAACATCGAGCTGCCCAGCGACAAAGATGCGCAGGGCAAGCCCCCTTCCCCGACCTACATCGCCACGCCCAAGGGCGGCGCCGCATCGGCGGCCTGGGACGAGAAGTGGATCTACATCAACGGCATCGGCAACGAGCGCGTGTGGTTCGAGAGCGCGTGCCACAAGATCAGCGAGGCTTTCCAGCGGCAGGTCACGGGCGTGTACAACCGCAGCGACGGCATCCTGTGGGACATGATCCAGTGCTTCGGCGAGCACTCGGCCGTCAGCGAGGCCGACAACAGCCTGATTCAGCGCACCGCGTCGAGCATCGCCGCCGAGCAGCGCCTCGAGTACGAGATCCGCGGCGCACTCTGGCCCACGAGCCCGGGCGTCCCGCCGCCCAAGAAGCTCGTCCTCATCTGTCACTCCCAGGGGTGCCTGCTCACACGGCTCGCGCTGCAGGCGCTGGTGACGGAGAACCCGGAGGGATCCCAGCGGCGCAATGAGATGCGCGAGAAGCTCCGCGTGTTCCCGTTCGCGAACCCGAGCATGGACTGGCGCGTCAAGGACAACGACAAGACCACCCAGTTCCTGGGAAACTACGCCCACATCACCGAGCACTACGCCCACGAGGTCGACTTCGTCGCCATGCTCGGCGTCATCTCGCATATGAAGAACCCAAGGGACCCCAAGGCGGGCTTCATGCAGGGCGGGTCGAGCGTCTTCACCAGCGTCAAGGGTCCCGCGAACCCTGCCGTCGGGCACCTCTTTGGCGCCCACTACGCGCTGGACCCGGAGTGGTACCAGAACGCGGACGAAAATGGGGAGCCGTCGAGGCTGTTTGAGGCCCTGGGCGGTGTTCCCATTGCTTAGTCGGTAGCTGGTGCCGGATGGGGAGCAGCAGCCTCGAGTGTGGCCAGATCAGGGGTTCAGGGGCTCACTCGCTCCAGAGAATGACCTGAAGATTTTGTTTGATCTTTGACTGCGTGTAAACACCGATGACAGTTGAACAATGCGTAAAATGGTTGGAGCAGGTCCGAAGGGTTGACAGCGGACAGAGCGTGCGTATATGCCACGTCACAGAAGTCGACTTATAATCACACCTACTACCCAGTTTCAATACTACTATGGTATTTGTGTATCGTACGACTCTAGTAAGTCTTGAGTGGTACAATTCGCACTGCAGTGCCTGATATCCGTCTTTCACGCTCTCCATACTAAGAAATCGTGACCCTCACGCCCTTACTCGACGATTTGGTCAGCGGGATAAACATGTCACGGTCGTACTTGACGTCCTTCTCCGTAGCCTCGAACAACTCCATGTGGGGCAGAACACGCAGCGTCAGAGCAGAGACCAGCAGGTACAGCTCGCATTGAGCCAGGCTACTTCTTGTCAGCAAGATCACTTTCACACAACATTCGTAGCAATCTCTCGACTCACTTGATACGGGAACTGGTACAGTAGGGCCCAACTATTGACATATGGTCGCGTTACACAACAGTAGCGGTCAGGCTTGTGAAGTCACTTCAGGGCATCACGGTTTAGCAAGAAACGCAAATCTCAGTGTGTGCTGCTAAGCTCGTTTGCGACGAGCCCGCTCTCACCTTCTATCAAGGATACTCGCATCCCGGCCCGGCACAATTTATGTAGGGCAAGACGTAAAAAAAAATGGCGAGGTCATGTAGTGGCAAAGGGAACTTGGCGAGCGTAGCACTCACCTCAGCTACTAAGCCGAGCGTGGTTCATTAAATATTCGGATAGTTCCACACTCGGCCGACGTGAGAGCCAACTACCTGTCTGTTTCACTGTGAAAATCGTGCCTAGAACATTGAGCGCAATTGAGATGGAGTTGGGTCACCATAGCAACTTTATTCGTCCCTCGAAGCATCACCTCCCGATTCCGCTTTGCGGATACCCTGCAGCGTGGAGAAAGTGATCTCCCGACGTCACCACAACCCAGGATCGTGCTCCGGCCATCCGCGGAGGTCCCCCCTCGAGGATGTTCAGCCCAAAAAAAAAAATTGAGACATGCAAAATTTCTCGTACTCGGTGATCTGCAAAGTTTCGGGGCTTCCGTGATCTGCAAAGTTTCGGGGCTTCCGTGATCTGCAAGTTTCGGGGCTTCCGTGATCTGCAAAGTTTCGGGGGGCTCCCGCCGTCTGATCCCAATACCTTGAAAGCTGCTACAGGCTCTACAATGTTGGGAAAGAGCCGTAAATGCTTGAGATGACTGAGTTCGTATGTGGCTGATTGCACTCCTTTCCAAGAAACCATTAACTCTCCGATACCCCTCATTTGTTGTTATCGTGACAGTCTCATTTAGCAGCAGCTGATGGATTAGATGGCACAGATCACGAGAATGAGAAGCAGGTGGTAGGCTTATGTCAGGCATTCAATATGAGTTTCCCCGCTTCCCCACCAATCTACAACAACTCTATCTCAACGTCCCTCCGACGAAAAGGTGGCCAGGGGACGAGTGCACAGCTGCCCATGGGGAACCCGACAACCAACTCTATCTTGCTCAACCTCCAAGCCCTACAGGCAATTAGATCAGCCTGGCGTTGCCGGAACCGCCGGCAAGTCCTTGGTTGCAACCCGCCGCCTCTCTTCCGCGACGTGAGAGCCTCTCTTTTCCACTGTCAAGCCCCGCCATCGGCCTGGCATTCCAGATGGCCTGGGTGTCCAAGGTGCACTTGGCCACCTTGGCTGTGGTGCTGGCCTCCGTCATGCTGTCTCCCGTCGTTTTCGTTTTAAGGCTCTTTCGTCGTAATAGAGGGAGCCGTCCCGACGGACTCCAGGTCGTCTCTGACCCCAAGGATGCCAAATTCGAGTAAGACACGTTCCCGGCTTGTCATCCAACGTCCCGCTAAGGTTGCTAGAATCGTCGCAGTCCACGGCCTCGGCGCTCACCCAGAGTACACATGGACGTGCCAAGCTCCAGCCAATTCGACAGACGCAGTTAGCGTACAGCACGTTTACCTGCTCAAAGACCTTCTACTGCCCGACTTCCCGGCTGCTAGAATCCTAAGCTTCGCCCACAACTCAGACTGGTTCATCAATGCCCCCGTTAAAACGGCCCAGGAGATCGGCTACATGCTCCTGCAGCAGTTAAAATGCCACCGATCAAGGCATCCGGTACGATTTCGCGAATGCCTCTACATAGCATTGCTGACGCCTGTGCTAGCGCATTCCGATCATCTTTATCGGTTATAGCTTCGGTGGTATCATCATGAAAGAGGTATGCTAGCTCCCACTTAGCCTATTGCGCGCCTAGCTCTAATGACCTTTCTCAAGGCTTTGTGTCAGCCCGGCGACGACTTACAGGATATCGCTGACGATACATGTGGTATCGTTTTCCTCGGAACTCCTCATTAGGGCTCGCCAGTGTCTGTTTTCGGTGCCGCTGCGGCCTTCCTGGCCGGCTTCCTAGGGTCTAAGAATACCCTTCTCCTTTCTCTGAGGAATCATCGTCCACAGCTCGCTGACCTAGAAATCCGCTTCCGACGCCGTATGAATCCTATAGAAAGCAGACGACAAAAAACCGAGATAGTCTCCTTCTGTGAGAGCATGGATACCTACTTGCTCGGATGGCTCTGGATTGGTCCAGTAAGTGCGGGCGCAACGCATATCCGACGCTATCTAACCTTGCTCGAGATTGTTACCCACGATTCAGCACAAGGCTACGCGGCTCAGATCATTTCGATCGACACCGATCATTCTGGCCTCAACAAATGTAGCCGACGAGAAGATCAGCTGTACACTGAACTCAAGAAAGTGCTAGACAGACTTAAACCGTACGTAATTCCAGCTAATTTCCCTTGCAGTTCCAGTTAACATTGCAGAAGCACTAGCGAACCAACCTTGAACGCCAACCAGCGGTATGTTGTGGCGAATCTGAAGGTTGCAGAGGGCGCCACATTCGACTCGAAGACCGAGGAGCACGAGGCGAGATGCCTTGACGGCACCCGTACCGGAGTCCTCCAACAGATTTACAAATGGGCGAACGACAGGGAAGGAAAATGCATATACTGGCTGCAGGGCCAGGCTGGCACCGGCAAGTCCACGATTTCTCGCACGGTAGCGCACGAATTCGCCGCTCGCGAACGTCTTGGCGCCAGCTTCTTCTTCAAGAGAGGCGAAGGCGACCGCGGTGGAGCTTCCCGCTTCTTCACCACGGTGGCTGCGCAGCTCGCTTGTCGCATTCCTTCCATGGCGGAGCACATGCGAAACGCAATCGAGGCCGATCCCAGCATCAACGAAAAGTCGATAAGAGACCAGTTCAAGAAGCTCCTTCTGGAACCCTTGAGGGGGGCTCTAGATTCGCAGACTCCTTTGAGGACAATGGTCGTCTTGATAGACGCACTCGACGAGTGCGACCAAGAGAGACAGGGGACAGATGTTACAAATATCATTGGCCTCTTGCCAGAAGCAAAGCAGCTGCTCTCCGTCCGCCTGAGATTCTTCGTCACAAGCAGGCCTGAGCTGCCTATTCGGCTCGGATTTAAGGACATCAGTGGCAGTTACGAGGATCTGATTCTCCACCAGATCCCCCAGCCCGATATCGAGCACGACATCACCGCATTCCTGGAGCACGAATTCACCGAGATCCGGAAGTGTTATAAATCTGTCACGCCAAACCGGCAGCTACCTCCCAATTGGCCTGGCGCAGCAACCGTTCAGAAGTTGGTTGATATGGCTATCCCCTTATTCATCTTCGCCGCGACCGTTTGCCGCTTCATCCAAAATCGGAACATTGGTGGCCCGAAGGAACAGCTGGCAAAAATCCTGGAGTACCAGGCAAGCCGGAAATCTAATTTGGACACAATCTATCTCCCTGTACTGGAACAGTTGCTGGTGGGGCTCCCCGAATCGGAGAAGTGCCAAGTGACAGGAAGATTCAAACAGTTCATCGGCTCCATCGTCCTCCTGGTCAGCCCTCTTTCGACATCTTCTCTCGCACGCCTTCTAGCGGTTCCTCTTGACGCCATCGAAGATCAACTAGACCTACTCCACTCCGTTCTGAGCATCCCATCAGACTCGGGGATGCCGGTACGGCTACTCCACCTATCCTTCCGCGACTTCCTCGTCGATCCTGAGAAGGGTAAAGAACAAGACAAATACCCCTTCTGGGTCGACGGACGGCAAGCCCATGAGCGGCTGGCGACCCAGTGCCTACAGCTGCTATCGACAGGCGATACCCTCAAGAGAGACATCTGCGGTCTGCGCCTGCCAGGAACGCGCCGGTCTGAAGTCAAGCAGCGGATTATCGACGACGGCCTGCCGCCTGAGGTCCAGTACGCCTGTCGGTATTGGACCTACCACTGGAAGGAGAGCAAGTGTATGATTCGGGACGGCGACCTCGCCGACCGTTTTCTGACCGACCACCTCCTTCACTGGCTCGAAGCGTTAGGCCTTTTGGGGCGGGTCTCGGAGAGTATCCGTATGGTGGATGATTTGCTAGGTTTACTCGATGTGCGTTCTCCTGCTACCTTTCCGGTTTAGTTGCGTAACGTCCTGACTTTTATATAGCAGGGAAAAGAGCAGCAACATCTTCGCGTTTCTGATTGATACGCGGCGGGTAATTCTGAATCATTGCTCTGTTATCGATGCATCGCCTCTTCAAGTCTACTCTTCGGCTATCGTGTTCGCACCACAGCAAAGCGTCGTCCGGAAGAGGTTCCGAAACCAATTTCCGGCTTGGCTTTCTCTGCCGCCGCAAGTAGATTCGGATTGGGGCGCCTGCACGGCAACGCTCGAGGGCCATAGCGACTGGGTCTCGTCGGTCGTATTCTCGCACGACACAACGAAGCTGGCATCAGCATCTCACGACAACACCATCAAGCTCTGGGATGTGGCAACGGGCGCCTGCAAGGCGACAGCGACACTCGATGTCGGCACATATATTACTCACCTTGCCTTTGGCGCAACTGGCTCCTCCCTCTCCACAAGCATCGGCACTTTTACTTTGAGCAGTGCATCCCCGTTAGCGTCATCGCCATCGCCGTTGTTGATTTCGGCGACGCCGACGACAGTACCGTCCGTATCAACTCCTCTCCCACAATTTGTCGATCACCGGGGCGTCGGGCTCAGCAAGGACCGCACGTGGGTCACTTGGAACTCGCACCAGGTCCTATGGCTACCCCAAGCGTACCGACCGGGACGTTCTTCTGTAGTAGAATCGACGCTGGCCATAGGATGTCCGTCAGGACGAGTAATCTTCGTAGCGATCTCACCTGGCCAAGATCATTGTATATAGCACTTTCCCTGCAGCCATTTCGAACAATACAAAGCAGTGAAGTCATAAGTGGCGGCTAGCCTATCGTTCGATTAAGTATCTCTCTTTCTCGTCGACCAGTGGTACATAAATATACGCTACTTGCTCTCACTGGCGTCAGCAGTCACGTCAGAACCTGCTCAAAATGGATCTAAGTATCGCTCAGGGTCATGATCAAGATCGTATTCGAAGTCGCCACCAGCCAGCAGAGCCCAGATGGTACACGCCTCCGACCGGACGGTCAGTGGATCTCTCGACGAAGAGGATGTGGGGCCATCGTTGGGCTGGTAGCCTCTCTGCTCAGCTGTAACGGCCCAAACCAACAGGTCGATTGTTTGGGCTGCAGGCAGCACGAACAAGGTCGCAGGATCGGGCCAGGGACAAGGGCAGGTCATGCGACAGGCAGAACACCGGATTATGTAAGAACTCGGATGAGTCAGCAGAACCGAGGAGCGGTGCCAAGACCAACGGAGCGGCACAACGCAAAAAGAGAACGGCACCGCACTACAGGAGAGCGGACAGCTCCAGCAGCGAATGGTGCCACTCACGATGAAGGACAAAGGCGTATATAGCATGGAGGATTTCCTAGACAGACAGTCATTACCTTTGGACTTTAGCGATCAATCTAAGTACCATTCTCACCTACACTTGAACTAGTTACTTAATTGTCGAGACTGGTATCTCTTCCCAGAGACAAGACAACCCCAGAGAGAGAACGACATTCGACGATTGTGATCTTGCTTGAGCTTTACCTACTTTGCAGAACAGCAACCCCGAAGCCCGACCAGACGGTTGACCCCGGAGGTCGGATCGTGACATCAGCCTTTATCGGACTGGATATGCCAGCTAGCGAATCAGGTTGCGTGCTAATCATCTTGGATGAGGACTCTTGCTTCTTGAGGCCCTTAGCCTGATCGGTTGGTTAACCTGCTGTCTTCTCTATCTCTTATCTCTTACTTCGTTTCATAGCGTGCCACCAGAAGGGTGCGGGAGGCCACGCAATCTTATACTCGGTTTAACTGTTCTAGCGCCTTCCATTGTCTCTCGCCACCATGCCACTTAGGTAAGCCATGCTAACGAAAGGTAGAGTACTGCTTTCTGATAAAGTTCTGCACCCTCTCTTCTTCGTTCCCCCTGGGCGAGTCTCGGATTGCGGCCGCAAGTCGCTCGAGCCGATCAATAGCGCCGGTGATACCGTATAATGGACCATCTGCCTCGTCCAGGTTGTCCGCATGAGGAAAGTAGGCATTGCTCGTTGACTGATCCGTATCTTTGGTCCCCTCGGTGGTGATGGTATGAAGTCGAATGCCTGACTCGTTGCTTTAGCGAAAGAGACCATGTAAAGTACTCGGAAAAGAAGATGTTTGCCCCTAGTTGACCAGTACACATACCTCGCAATAAATTTCGCTTCAAAACATCCAGCATCGATGTGACGAGGCGCTTCACCTCTGGATAGGGCTGGAGGCGGCGATCCAGGCACGCTTCCTCATCGGCGAGCGCCCCAAGCAACCTCGTCCATCGCAAGAAATGAGCCTGGTATCGAGAGATCTGAGTATTGTACTCTCGTGGCGTCTTCAGATACTCGGCAAACAGCGCCTTGCAGTCTCGCGCCGATGGATAGATGTCCCGGTTGGGCTGCTAAACTCATCTCTTGGTATCCTGCCTTCGTTTGAGTTGCGATCCGGCTGCGAGTGGCTTGTCGCTACGGCAAAGAGGAAATGAACTGGATTCGTAAATAGCGGACCTTTGCTAACTGCAGTCGCAGATGGTATAATATCGAGTCCGGACCCGGGCGAAGTAAAGCTGTCGATTGCCCATCGCTGGTCGGGCACCATTTTGGTCCACTGTGGGGTCAGTACGCCGAGGCAGGCGCCGCGCTTGAGTTATCAGGAAACAAGTAACTTCCCACCAAACTGGCGGCAATTGGCCCCTTTGGCCTTTTATTGACCATCCCAAGTCTAAATCATGGCAATGGAGGAGAACAATTATCCCATTCTTGTTTAATTTGTTCCTCAGTACATCACCAGTTTCTCAGAATTTCTGGTTATTACCTCCAGCCACATGTACATCACTAGCTCAGACGGCAGAGAACAAGCCTCGGCCCCCATGTCGGAAAAAACCCCGCAGATGGGCCGCCGATGGGTGGCCTCGCCTGGTTCGCCCGTGAGCGAGACGCTCTTCAACGTGTCGATGTTAGACTATGATTTCTTGGATCGTGGTTGGTGTGTGTTGTGTACGGAGTAGCTCTCGCCTTCCCTGTTCTTCCTGGTGGGCTGGTGGGCAGGCGGGGTTGGGATGAGTGATTAGCTGTTGAGGTCGTTCGACTTACCGCGTTTCTCTGGCCTCGGAATACCCGGAAGACCCGGAGGGCCCGGAACACAGATGGGGCCAGGACGAGTCTCGTAAACTCAAAGTTCTGTAACAGGGAAATGCTCAGACGACATTGGCCCCCGAACTGGGGTTAGTTAGGGGTCCTGCAAGTGCGGCAGCTGCCGTTCTCCTAGCGTACCTTGGGGAAGTGGGGAGACCCGTCGGCATCGACGCAGTTCGTGATTTGCTCTTTTACATGCGCGCGCTGTGGTGGACAGTTCAGCCATCATCGCCAGGACACAGCACAGTTCTCGTCGGGAGCACATGGGAAGAGGTTACTCGTTATGTACGTACGCGTATGCACGCACAGCGCTTCGGCCTGGCCTTGAATCTCTGTTAATAGTTTGTAGTATCTACAGTAGGGGCAATGGTGTTATGCCGCTGGGAGCACCGGACGCTAACAGCACCACCAGTGGCAGCACTTCTCCCGGTCTGGCGCACGGTCTCTAGGCATGGGCTATATAGCTGGGACTCGGCCTGGTGCCTCAAGGCACGCGCTACATTCGCTGCTACTGAACCTCGATCTGGTGCCGGGCTCCAAAGCACCGTCACAATGTCGACAACAGAGGCAGAGATACTAGGAGTCGAGCAGACCGCCAAAGAAGCAATGGGTTACCGCCGACTGCTCGCCACCGTTGGAGAAGACGACCAGGCACTCCGCATCCGGACTCAACTACGTCATATTGACATACAGAACATGTAACTGAAGCAGGAGTACCGCGCTGGCGCCTTCACCATTGAGTACGTCGAGACAGCCAAAATGCCAGCTGACGGCCTCACAAAGAATCTCTCGCGGCAGAACTTCACCCCAAAAACATCATCGTCATAGAGTCATCCAGCAAAAAGGGAACCGACGTGCTACGCCCTTGGCTAACTCCCGCCTAGACACCCCGAAGGGCCAGGACAGTCGAGCCGCTCGATAGACGCTTTACAACCCTCGTCGTAAACCCTGTAGGGCCAGTCAACAGTCAACAGTCAATCAAAAGGATAAGTCAACCGCGCTCTATTACGCACGAGCCGCGCGAGCAGAATAGAGGGATGCCGCCCTATTTACGCTCTCCATCCGGTCCCCACCGGGCCAACTCCTCGGCTGACCAATCACCACTGCCAAAGACAGGGGAATGTGGCTCAAAGACAACCTAAGAACTCTGGGAGATATTGAGAAATCACTCGCGAATTAGGCATTATATGTCCTCAATACCTCGTGGCACGCAGAAGTCAGAGTCTGGCAAGCCAACGACCAATAGGAGGCCACGGAATCTATCCCCGAACCCATAACGTCATCGACGCGGGGACCCCAGATATTTAATGTACCTCTTGTGCTGTCCCAGGACCGATGACGGAGGCGTTTGTCGAAGACAACGCATAATTGCCTAATCGGGGTAATTGAGGTTCGAATCATGTTGTGGCAATGCATTTTTGGTTATTTGTAACTCTCTCAATGAGCCCTGACGTCATCACGGTCTGGTGGTTATTTTCCTTGTATTGTTCGACGTCAGGGTGTCACGTGACCCATTGTCAGGTGTGGTATCCAGCACCTGGTGGGTCACACCAGGTAATTGTTAAGGGGTACATCCGTCTCTTCATTAAACTCTGCACTTGCATGCATGCGCGCGTGGCATCGGGCCCTCCCTACCCCATATTCCCCCGCCTCTACCCACGGTACTTCGTGACTCTGACGCACGGCAGTCCTCCTCATACCGGCCCGAAACATCGGCAGTTATTATCAACGTGGCGGGGTCTACGTTCTACCTATATGAGAGATGATTCTACCCCGCATGTAAATGAATCCTGCGCCAGTTACCCTGAAATCAAGTCTCTTTTCTCATATCCTACCATAACGGCTGCAACGCCCTTCGAAAGCCAGCCATGCTCTTCTCTCTCCTCCTCTCTCTCCTCCTCTCTGCCCTCGGCTCCGCTAGCTCTAGTACCAGCCGGCCCGATGCGTATAGCCTCTGCGATGCTCAGTGCCTCGAGGCGTACCAGACATCTCACAATAGCGAAAGGAAGCTCTGGGCTACCCCGAACTTCTCGGATGACCGCTTCTACGATACGCCAGCTAACGCCACGCGGGCTAAGCCGGGCGATCTTCTACGCTGGGAGGACGTCTCGACGGAGCGTATGAGTACTAACTTTACGGGTATCCCCGGCGGCCTCTCGGTATCGCGGATGATCTATATGACAGAGGATATAGACCGCAAACCTATTACTGCGAGCGCCTATATCCTTCTTCCGTACTCGCTCGAGATATATGGCGACCTGGGCGCAACGAGATTCCGAACCCTCGCGTGGGCACACGGCACTGTCGGCCATAGCCGCCAGTGCGCCCCGAGTAATAACCAGAACCTCGCTTACGGCTGGAAGGCGCCCATCTTCTTCGCCAATAGCGGTTACGCCGTTATCGCGACCGACTACGCCGGTCTAGGCACACAGGTCCCCGGCGGCTTTCGGTACGAGGGGGGATTCTTACATGCCGCCGACGTCGCGTACTCGGTTATTGCTGCCCGCAAGGTGATCGGCCACCTACTCACCGACGAATGGGCTGTTGTCGGCCACAGCGAGGGCGGCTTGACGGCCTGGCGTACTAATGAGCGACTCGCCATGCCTAACCAGGACGAGTTACTCAAGGCCGGGACATTCCTCGGCGCTGTTTCGGTCGCCCCAGCCCTTCGTCCGAGCGAGCTTCTCCGCAAGGCATTTGCCGGCGACGGGCCCATTTACGCGCCTGTTTCGGTCTACGTCATGAAGAGCATCCAGGGGCTATACCCGGAGCTGCAGATCAAGGATTGGCTCACCCCCGAAGCTCGGGAGCTGATGCCGCTGCTCGAGCAGTCGTGCCTTAGCGCTGGCTTGGCGCTATATTCCAAGCTTACTGCTAAGCAGGTCTTTACCAACACGACGTGGATTGACAGCCCGGCCTTCCGCGACTGGGAGTCTCGTGTGAATGGCGCCGGCCCCCACGCGCTTGCGGCCCCGATGCTCGTTGTACAGGGGCTCGACGACCAGATTACGTATACCGAGGAGTTCACCCGCGACTTCAAGCGCACCTGCGACGCGTTTCCAGAGTCCAGCGCCGAGCTGCTCCTCGTCCCCGAGCTCGGCCACGACCCGGCCCTGTACGCCGCCCAGCCATACTACTTGGCCTACATCCAGCGCCTCTTTGCTGGCACGTGCCAGCAGCGTCGTTGCTCCATCAGGACCATTAAGCCCATCACCAAGCACTTCCAGCAGTACTTCGTTGGCTACTAGATGGGCCCGGAACAGTGTGACAGGGCAGTGTGGCAGGGCAGGGCAGACGGAGATCAGGGGTTTCCGCTAGTCCTTTTTGTATTTATTAGGCAAAGACGGCCTCACGATGATTTTCCATAGACACGTATGCCACTTACACACACCAAATTTTAACACCCATTCTGCCCGTTTTCCAAACTCGTTTTCCACTACATTTGACTGCCATAAGTTTTGTCTATTCTACTCATTATGCCCTGATCAGAAGAAACCCCCCCAAAGTGTTATACCGACAATTCGTTGTTGGTGTAGCTGGCTCCCCCATCCCAATCCCCAGGTGCGCGCACCTGGGAATCCCCTCACTCTGCAGAGTCTGTCGGCAACGGATGGCTCACTCTCTTATTGCCCATCCTGTTCGGTCACATCGGTGAGAAGACTCTCTACATATTCGCCGCCTGCAACGTCATCAGCATCCCCATGGTGTGGGCGCTGTATCCCGAGACGAACCAGCGAACGCTTGAAGAGATCGATCTCCTCTTCTCCTCGGATAAGATCTGGAACTGGGAGGCCGCGAAGACTTTCGCTAGATTGTCGCAGGAGCACGCTGAGCTTCATAATGACGGAGCATCGGATATGAAGGACGATGTCGAACGAGGGGACTCTGCCACGAAGGTTGGACTGGGATCAGCAAGCAGTGCTCATGTTCAGTAGGGGGTTCCTATAGTCCCAGCGGGGAGGGCCAAGATAGCGATGACTGCCCCAGGTTGCATCCAATCTCATCATGCAGGTTCTCATCATGCAGGTTGTGGCCATCTGCGGGATCTGATGCCCACATTGGCCGACATTTTGGGAACCAACTGCATGACGTCGGGTTTCATGTCCCTGCCTGTCTGCAAGTCACATCGGAGATCGCACCCCCATATCCTACGGATATCCTGGCGTATACAGGCTTAATCTTCGCCAGGTTACCATGTCATGGCCATTTTAATGGTAGGCCGCCCGCGTGGGCGGTTGCAATTTGTGCGCCGAGTCCTTTCACATTCTTCAGCGCCGGCACTTCTGTACATCTCGGGTCACTCGAAAACGGTCCCACGCTTCCGCAACCAACATACTAGAGAACATCACGCCCAACCGCGGCAATGGCTGGTTGTCCTGGCTCGGGGTCAGCCTCGCCTACCGCAGCAGCGATTGTCAGAGCCGACCAGGACATGCTCAACCTGACGCACATGATGCCTTTTTCCACGTGGGCCACGGACGTCCACTACCAGGCCTTCGTCAACCAGAAGGGAGATGGCGGACAATTCAGCTCGCTATACCCCCCTCTAATCAGTTCGCTTCTCCCCAAAACCCACTCCGACACCACTGCGACATGTCGCCTGGCGGCTTGCTGACAATCACCACGTCCGTCTGATTAAACGCGACACTCAAGTGGGATGCAGATGCGCCATTTGGCTTACCCTCGCCCAACGACGCGCCTCCGCTGCCGGCATGGCTACCGACAGATAGAGACTGCCCTCATACAGTGGCCGTCCACTTCATCTGGCTTGTGCCAAGTATCCTCCTGGGCAGCAGAGAAGCTGCAACCAACTGTATCGCCGGAGACTGGTACTACATACGAAGCGATGGTGGGGTTACGACGACATCGAGGCACTTAATCAGAGAGCATGCCCTAGCGGTGTAGTCTCGGGCGCCCGGGCATCACGGCAACAGCATTTACAAAAGGCCGATACTGTAATCAGGGGTCCAACCTGTCGGCCCCGGACAGCCCGTGTCAGCCCGAGAGGTGTGGGGTAGCGCCTAAGGTTTCCCCGGGTATCGGGTCATCGGGCGTGGACGGGCCCGCGGCCTGCTCTTACAGAACCCACTTTCTAAGTCGGTGATTAAGCTCGAAAAAGGGTTATCACGCAGAGGCAGGGATGCTGCATAAAGTGACTGATGTGATGGAATGGGTGATATATTGAAGGTGCTGCAGGGCACAGACCACGTAACAAGGACACTAGCACAAGCGCTTCCTCCTAAAGCCTAGCAATTTCCCCGAGGTTCCGAGCTACGCTCAGCACTTCCGGAGTGTTATCTACCGAATTTACATACCGCTACCTGGCTATTTTTGTTTGTGCGTACGTGGCCCGTCCTCTAGAGCGTACGGAATGATCGGGTTGTGCCCACGGCTTAAGTTTCGGCACTTTACACGTAGCATGTACGTCCGCTGTATTTCCTTGCCGCCATTACCGCCGCATATGCGTAGTATGTGCGCTAGCTGCCATGACAAATCAACAAATGGTTTTAAGGTTTTGCTTCCTACCCTTTTCAGTGTGCTGACAAACATGATACCCCTGGCAACTTTTTGAACCCCCCCTGTAACTGGAACCTCTGACGCAATTATAGTGACCCACTGTGCGGTGGATCATGGGAGCTCGACGCAGGATAAAAGCAGCAGAATCGCCTCAGAGTTCAACATGGAAGGTCTCCTTCATCACCAGCTCCCTTACAACAACTCGAGATAACAAAAGCCTCTTCCTCCCTACACAAAGCACCACCTACCACCATGACGTCCAGCACAATCAAGAACGTCGCTCTCACAGCGGCAACCGGCGACGTCGGCTCCGTAATCTTCAAGAAACTTACAGCCTCGGGCCTCTTCAACGTCCGCATCCTCTCCTACTCCGGCTCGACATCCAGTTTCCCTCCCGGCACAGACATCGTCAAGGTCGACTTCTCGTCTGTCGAGTCTCTTGCCGCCGCCCTAACCGGCCAAGACGCCGTCGTCTCGGCTGCGGGTAACGATGGCTTGGCTGGCCAGAAGCTCCTTGTCGACGCCGCTATCGCCGCCGGCGTTAAGCGCTTCCTACCCTCCGAGTACGGCGGCGACTTGGCTAATCCTAACGCCCGTACTATACCCCCCCTCCGCTTGAAGGTGGAGACGGAGGACTATCTCGAGGCCCGCTCCGCCGAGCCCGCCCTTCAGGGCAAATTCACCTATACCTACGTCTATACCAGCGCCTTCCTCGACTGGGGTCTCGACATAGGCCTCGTCATGAACATCAACGAGACCGTACCCCAGGTCTGGGGTTCGGGCGACTTACCCTTTAACGGGGTTATCCTAGACAATGTCGGCGACGCCGTAGTCGGCGTACTTAAGAACCCAGACCAGACGGCTAACCGCCCCGTATATATCAGCAACGGGGTCGTCACGCAGAACAAGCTCATCCAGCTAGTCAGCGAGCTTGGTCTCCCTGGTAAAGAGTCGTGGAAGCCGGAGCTTGCTCAACACCACGACATTGAGGAGTTTGCGACCAAGGCCTTTGCAAATCTGAAGGCCGGTGTGGGGTTTGACTCTATTGGCATGATGCCCTTCTTGGTGCGTTCGTGTTACTACCCATCCTACAACAATGGCAAGTATGGCCAGGACAATGAGCTTCTGGGGATCAAGAAGTTGAGTGATGAGGAGCTCAAGCAGTTCCTCAAGGAGAGTATATCCAAGTTGAGCACAAAGCCCACAGGGAAACATTGATGTGAAAGCAATAAAAACTCATATCGACCCAATAAAATAAGCCTGGACGTGGCGTGACACTTTGGTTTTGCTTTTCGCCAGCAGTGAGGCCCTCATGTCGTGGCTGAGGGATTGTGCTTCATCATTCAGGACGCTGCATGTCATCGCGACGTCACTGGTCAATTGACACCTCTACGTCTGTTCCGCAGCACAGTCTTGTTCGCAAAGGCACAGCCACTGTCGCGGACCCAGAAACGTCGCGCTTGGAGTGGTGGACATGAGACAAGCAGATGGTAGAGAAAGACCAGAAGCAATAGATCTTCGGCCTGCACTTCGACGCCTGGGGCCATGGGGGAGGGCACCGGAGGATACCCAACGCATTGCTGCACGACTTGCAACTCGTGCATTGGCAATCTGCTATTGCCGTAGCGAGTTCCAGGACGGAGGCTAAGGAAAGCAGAATCTCTCAATTGTCCACTCCTAGAAGATCGCTGTGGGTGCAATTGGCCAGTAGAGGCAAGAGGACGCGTTTTCCAAGGGAAAGTGGAGGACGGCGTCATCTGGCTTGGAATGGGTACTTTCGTGAGGGAGGCTCATGGACATCACGTCATTCTTTCATCTTATTCCGTACTGTGAAGCAAGGAGACAATCCAGGGCGATCTCAGCAAACAGCACTTCTTTGAACAAGTTCACGTAGTCGACGTCGCCTCGCATCAACGACAAGGAATGGCGGGTAATCCTAGGCTTAACACCATGTAGTGCATGGAATTGTGCCTCGTTCCCGAAGAAATGCCCGCCGAGTCACAACGGAGATCGCGAGCAGCCTCACACGGAGAGGTTGACGCACGAGACTGGAAATGATAAAGAGCGTCTTCATTTCAATGCGACCGCGACCCAGGAATCGCCCCTTGCATCTGCAGTCGCAGAGCTGCGGAGGCATCAAGGTTTCCTTCCGGGCAGGTACAAGTCCCTGGAGAATCAACGAGAGCCGCTGGGGGCATCGCTTGACCATCTGCACGGACACTTTGCGGAGCGTCTTGATCGTCGCCGGCCTAATGAGGCCATGGGCCTGCCAGCCTGCAGCGGTGTAGAACGCCCGTACGCTTGGGCCGAAGCCATTGGCGTTGACGTAGTTTATGCCTACTGAGCTGAGGCAAAACAACAACCTCGACCAAAAGGAGTTCACCGGTTTCCAGTGTCGGCGGCACTTCCGCAAAGAATCGTGCGGCGATATTGAGATATGTCAACATTGATTCCCTGATGTCACTTAGGCAGGGGAGATTTCGCGGTTTCTGCGTTCAGACAAATGTAACATCATGCAGTAAGTTGCGGGCGGAGATATGTGGTTCAACGAGTGACCTCTTTTCCACTCCTATCTGCGGCTGTGGCAAACTCTCTCGACTTTGTTTGTCGTGCCCCAGGTTGAGCTACCCAATCTCACCACCCCACGTCAGAGCCTAAGTGGCGCGATGATGGGGGTGTGCAACCAGCGCGTCGAGCTGCAGAGGGATTGGTTGACGGACTCACCCTGCATCGACTCATTGCAAACGGATAAAGGGGCCTTAAACTGTGCACGGCCGTTAGCGGGTTGCTTTCCGTAATTGAACCGTTAAGTCCACCGGCCACCTCGCGACCAGGCCGCATCGCGACCAGGGGTCACGACTCGACGCGTCGTAACACCCCACCATACATTTAGCTATATAAATCTGTTGATCCGTGTCACACCGCGACCTCACTGCCACCATTGTGACCACCCAAAGTGAGGCTATCGTCATGGTGCCAAAAGACTACCAATTGCGTGCCCGCCGCGCACTGGACGACGTTGAGGCGGGCGTACCTGTTGCGACCGCTGCCAAACGACACAATGTCGACAGATCCTACCTACGTCGTCGCCTCCAGGCGGTCCCAACCTTCAAGCAAAAATACCAAGTCCAACAAGCCCTCTCCGTCACCCAGGAGGATTATATGGTCTCCTGGGCCCTCGACCAAGCAGCTATGGGCTATGCAGCACCGTTGGCCCAATTTAGGCACCTCGCGACGCGACTGCTGTCGATAACCCCTCCGCACGGCTCGGTGGTCACTGGTACCGACGTTTCACCCGCCGAAACCCAGCCTTGACGACCTCGAGATCACGACTCATCGAGTACAAACGCTATAACGGCGCCTGCAAGGCCAATATCGACATCTTCTTCGACCGACTGACGTCATTGATGCGCAAACGAGTACGGCCCGACAACATATGGAACGTAGACGAGTGTGGAGTGGCGGAGGGCCTTGGTCATAATGGCCTCGTGGTCTCTGATGCCTTGCGCAACTTCACCTTGAAAAAGGACGGTGCCAGGAGGACCTGGATCACGATAATTGAGGCCATTTCTGCAGCTGGTCGTTCGATCCCTCCGCTCGTTATCTTCAAGGGCCAATCGGTGCAGCAGCAGTGGTTTCCTGACATTGAACTCGATAAGTGGAAGCACTGGTGTTTTGAGACATCACTAAATGGGTGGACCAGCAATGATATTGCGCTGAAATGGCTGAAGGAGATCTTTATCCCCAACACCATTCCAGCTGTTCGGGGACACTGGCGATGCCTTATTCTGGACGGCCACAAGTCGCATACAACAGCAGAGTTCATGGCGGAGTGCTTTATCCATAAAATCTGGCTGATTTACTTACCGGCCCATACCTCACATGTCCTTCAGCCACTCGATGTGGGTGTGTTCTCGGCGGTGAAATCATGCTACCGTCAGGCGGTCACGGAGGTGGCCTACAACACCATGAACGAGTCCCCAGGCAAGCGGGAGTTCCTTGAAGCATATCAACTTGCGCGGAAGAAGAAGATGAACAAGGAGAACATCTTGGCGGGCTTCAAGGGCACGGGTGTGTGGCCACACAATAGGTTGATGGCCTTGAGCTCCCGCTTCGTAGTACGGAGTTTGGAGGAATCACGGTCAGTACCTGCAACTACGCAAAATCAGGCCCAATTGACGTTCCCAGAGCCAGATTTCTTGACGCCGTTATGCGCAATTGACGTTAAAACACCAAAAACAGGTCGCGATGTCTATGAACTGCACCAATTGATGCTGCGGTGCGATTCTGCGCTGGCGACAGCGACCTGCAGGAAGCTGTTCAATAAGGTGGCGAAAGCAGTCGAGAACTCGAACCTCCGTTACACCGCCGCAGAACACCAAAAAGACCGCCTCAAAGCTGTATTAGAGGCTTCAAAGCCTACTAAACGTCGCAAAGTTGATCCGGATCCTAATAAAGACTTCGTTTCCGTCGTAAACGTGGAACGCGCAAAGAGGCAGGTTCGCCGTGAGATGGGGTCGGACGTTAGCAGCGACGACTACATAGACAGCAGCGACGACGAGGTAGAGCTAATTGAAAGCGACACCGACGAAGAGGACTGCATAGAGGTACAGCTCAATTGATTTGAAGACATTTTAACGACTGGTTGTGGTTTTATTGCAGAGTGACGGTGAGGTTGGTGATGGCTTCATGCGCAGGTGGGCGGTGATCGCGAGGCGGCCTGGTCGCGAGGTGGCAGGCAGACTTAGTGCTAATATCGCCGCTCGTGCACCGGAGTCGTCAATGGCAGACTGACAAGGCTCACGGCAAGGTCCGAGGCCTTGAGTAGCGATAGGCTGTATCTGTGCCCGAGCCGGATTATACGACCGACGGTATCGCTGCAACCGGTCCGCCATATTTGCTAGGGACGATGTTTGGAGATACTCAAGTAACTCGGATTGATGTGGTCGCTTTATCGTGCTGCAAGAACCAGAGTTATACGGATGAGCCAGTTCTTTATACTACACTTTTGAGGGAACAGAGGAGGGCAAAATTTTGCTGAACTATATAAATAACTCCTTGGGCCGACCGGGACACCGCCCGGAGGACCGGGGTACTTTGGCACACGGCGGCTCATGTGAACTATGATTCGCCAACTAGCCGGCTGAATCGGCCCCATCATGTCCGGGCCCGGACGTCGTATGACAATTACGCCGGCGAGAACGGATATGATATGATTGGCAGCGCGAAGATGATAACCCCTTTGGACTTTTGGCGCGGATCGGCTGACTCTCCGGCAACGACCCCGCGAGCTCTTTCGCTGTGCGTAGGCCACGCCTATGTATCTGCCCTGTTGCCGCTTGTCTTCCCATCCACTATGAACACCGGAAGAGCTGTGCGATTCTAAGTTGCCAAAAAAGGTCCAGGTTGCACCATCTTATGTGTCTCTGCCAACCATTCGGTCTAAACTGCTCAGCCATTATGTATCTAGCAATTGAAGACCGCTCTGAATCGAGACACTCTACCCTCAACTGCCTACTACGTAGTCCATGAGAGAGCCGGAGCGTGCTTCAAGCACGCGAGTCGAGCCTTGTCTGTCCTCTGAGACCTAGTCCCGAGCCATTGCCTTCTTCAATCTCCTCGAGGGCGCCCCAGGCTGCCGCTGCCGGTACGCGCATACCCCAACATGAGTCGTCGCACTTTTGTCCGATCCGCCTTTGTCCCTCGAGCGTCGCGCGACGAGACCGCAGCGAATAAAACCAGTAGCAAGCCTCACCTTCATACTGTAGGCATTGCGAAGAGGACCAGAGAGACTTTCCACAGCACGAAGCCGGCAAGAAAGCTGAAGAAGCAGCAGCATATATCACTCTCGGACTTCATGTGATCACGTCACGACGTTTGAACCTCATCATAACTTGATATCAAGTGCGAGCACACTAGCTCTGTTCATATACGGACTCATCCCTCCTCAAAATATCTACACTAAGAAAGAAGATCTGGCGGCATTATTCTGCTTTCGTCACAAACGTCCGCGCTCATAGAATACGAGCAGGCGGTCGTCGCGACCAAAACAGTCACCTTGTCGGCCACCACGAGAATAAGAGCTGGTACTCAAGCCAAAGTCCTTGCCGGTCTGCTGCCAAAAAGAACTCTGATGGAGATTGTCCTCGCCTATCAGTCCATGCCTGAAACCATTCAAGGACCCTGGACGGTGACGGTGGCAGAGCCACTGGAGAAGTAACCCTCGGTAGCGACGATCTGGTAGTTGTGCTGGGAGCCGAGGCGCATGC